TGAAGACAGAAAACTAAACAGCAGTGGCGTTTGCAGGGTTACTGAAGTTGGACTACCTGGTATATAATGTTGTGCTATGTGATTGCTAGCGACACAGCCATATTAGCATAACATTAGCACAGTAAAGCTGGAGGATGAACGCTAACTTTTTTTCCACTCGATAAAAGTTAACGTGAGAGATTCTGGTGGTCAGGGACAAATGCAATCACATAGCAGGATGTTATACACGGGCCAAACTTCAGTCAGGAGAACAACAGAGATTATTCATCCACAATACAGGTTAGTTATTAATATACTGCAACAACATGGGAACAGAACAGCTGTGCGAGAATTCAACATTAATGAATCAATGTTACGGAAGTGGAGGAAGCGCAGTTTTTCGCTTTCCCATATTTCAAAAGTGCTTCATCTCTTTGCTATTACTGTCGCCATAATTTGCAGATGATAATGGTTTTAGCCGCTGCGATGCTTTCGACCAAAACAGGCGCAGCTTGATGACATCATCAACATGCGCTATCGCGATAGAGCGGTATAGTCAAAATCTCTATCGTTGGCCAAATTTATATCGTTTCTATTGTATATCGTTTCTATCGCCCACCCCTACCAGAAATAACTCAAGAATAGAAAAAGCGTTTGTATTATGGGTGTGAATGGGTGATTGAGGCATGTTGTAAAAAGCTCTTTGAGTGCTGAGGTAGAGTAGAGCCATTGCGGGTGGGTATAAATTTTTTTTAAAAAAGGCTTCGACACTGCTAGCATAGTAGAGAACAGAAGCATCACCAAATATGTTTTCAAACCAAAGAGTAGAAATTTGATGAAGCCTATCTTACCTTTGTCTTCACCTTTACAATGGTGGATAATGAGGACAGTTTAAAGCCAAACAAGCTAAATGCCACTTAGAGACAAAACATCCACAGCACAAAGACAAGTCAGTTTACTTTTTAAACAAAAATTTGTGAATAGTTGTGCTTAGCAGCGTCTCTTTAATAAAGCTGCATCCGTGCCAGCAAATGCTTACCTCTGCTCTTATAAAGTTGCCTACCAAGTGGCACAGTGTAAAAAGCCACACACAATTGCGGAGGAATTAATAGCATCAGCATATTTATGATATGGGGGTAGAGCCTAGAGCTGGGCGATATAAGATTTTTTCATATCACGATATGTTTTTTTCATTTCAGGCGATAAC